ACAGCCCCACTCAGGTGCGTGGAGCTGCACAGCGCTGCTGTGGTGGTCAGGTGGGTGATGCAGTTATCTGTACCTGTTGCCATGCCTTCTGCATATGCTGACCTGTTTGCATGATGCTATCAGAGCTTGGGGCCAGCAAATGTAAGGAGAAGCAAAGGGAAAGGATGATGGTCAGACTTTATCTTCCCATTAACTGGAGCAAATCTGCCAGTGGTGCTGGGTTGTTGCACTGCTCTGACATAGACTGTAAGACAGATAACTTTCAGCAAAGTGCAGAAGCATCCCCTGTGCAGCAGCAGCACGCAGGGCTGCATCCCCTGCCTCACGCCAGAGCCCCCAAACCAGCTGCATCCTCTCAGTGACTCTCAGGTTCCCTTTGTGCCACCACTTGCAGCACAATAAAAGGACTGTTCACCGCTCCCCAGTGCAGCCACAATGCGCCCGGGTCCGATATCTGAACGGCTCAGATGGATCCTTGTGCTAATCAATGGTTTCACAGGAAGCTTAACGTGCCGTGGCTGCATGCTGAGCAGCCTTCCAGGGGCCCACGGCAGTTTGCTTCCCTCCTCCTCATAAACAGCTTTGTCTATGTATTTTTCTTAAAGTCTAACACATTTAATCAGCTCTTCATGAGCTGTCAGCTCGTCTCGCATGTGGAAGCAGAGCTGTACCCTATCTCAGAGCAGTGCTAACATGCCTGACAGCGTGCTGCAGTGCTCCTGCATGCACTGCTCTCGTGTGTGCACAGGAGTGTGGATGCTACAAGTCCCTCAAAGTATGGAGGAATACCCAAAACCAGTTTTCAACTTAAAGGAAAGTCGTGCATTTTTAATTGGAGTTCAAACATCTCAGTTTGCAGTTCATCCCTTCCCACCTAAATGCTGAGCAACGCTTGGAATCTTTGTCCCACTGTTCCATAGCTCAGTGAGATGGGGAAACCCTGCAAAAGCCAAGGAAGTAAAACCAGTCATAGAAAAGCCGAAAGGTTCTGGGTGAGGAAAGTCAGCACGTCAAGTCAACACGTCCTCACCCTGTGTGCAACTCAGGTGGGCAGCCATCGTGCTCCAAGGAATCATAGAATCATAGAATGGCTGGGGTTGAAAAGGACCACAGTGCTCAGCTCCAACCCCCTGCTGTGTGCAGGTTGCCAACCAGCAGCCCAGGCTGCCCAGAGCCACATCCAGCCTGGCCTTGAATGCCTGCAGGGATGGGGCATCCACAGCCTCCTTGGGCAACCTGTTCCAGTGCCTCACCACCCTCTGTGTGTAACGGGAGAAAGAAGTAAGGCAGGGGGATGCCAAGGTGAGCAGAGCTGTAGAGGTATGGCTTGTGTTGCCTCTATGGCTTTTAGTGCCTGGTGAGTAGGAGAAGTAGATGTTGCACTGTATCTGTCTCTGGGATGTGAAGTTGGAGATAAGGAGTCTGTGGCTGCAAAGGGCACCTCCCCAGTGCTGGAGGAGACAGAGCAGCTGTGTGAGTGAGGGTTTGGGGTGACAGAGTGGAGCCAGCTGGAGGGCAGCCCTGCAGCCTCTGCTTTTCTGAACATCCCAAACAAGGATGCTTTTCCCCTTTTTATTGGCATTTTGGAGTCTTCTAACAGGAGGTGGTTGGAGATTCTGGGTTGTTCTGGTGCAGCTCCTTGGGAGGATAGCAGTACTCTGCATGGTCCATTCGTGTGAAGACCTTTCAGAGAAATCATGGAAGTCTCACGAGTTTAATGCCAGAGGTTAATAATAACCGCAATAGGCAGCACATCATTGCCTCTGTATCTGGTTGAGAGATTTACAACTTAAACTCGTGGCAGAGGAAGAAATTGCCTCAATCACTTGGAGTAATGGCACATGGAGAGCCACTTGGGCGTGACTGCTATTTAACACAAGAACCCAGCTTGGCTTCATTTAGCGTGCTGGTTCCTTTCTAATAAACATGTTACACTACAAGGTGGGGATTAAGTTGAGAAAAGTAAATAAATTGGAAACTGATGGGGAGAGATGGGAGCGAAATGGAACATCCTGGGGGGGTGTGATGGCCGATTAACTCTCATGCTGGGGTGCTGGGAACAGCCCTGCAGGCCAACACTGGAGCTTTTTGTGTTGGGATTTGGTGTTTTGGGGGTCGGAGGAGGATGCAGGTGTGGGTTTTTACCTAGTATTTCCTCTGTGTAGCATGTGGAGGCCATCGGTCGGAGAGAACGAGATGTTGCTTAAGGTCACGGGTGAGAGATTTTGGCTTTTTTCCCTGCTTTATGTGTTTTATGATCAGTCCACTTCCTTGCTAGCAAGGACTCTCCCTGCTCTGTACATGCAGGTGAGAGGAGCAGTCAGAGTGGGGAAGAAAGCAGCATAAATCCCCCTAAAAACTTGTAATTTGCTTGCATGGTTTAGCTGGCCATTGCTGTGTGTGTGTGCATACAGGTGTGGGCAGAAGGGTGGTGGAAAGCATCGCAGAGCATCCGGGCAGTGTGTGAGGAGGTGATGGAGCAGCAAGGCACGAGTCTGCCCTGGCCATGTGGCAAATGGGCTGCAGCTGTCACTGGATGCTCTGTACAAAAAAGGATGATTGGTGCTGCCTGACTCATCCTGTCCCTGAAACAGCGCCGGTGAGCAGGGCGAGTCAGCAGCACCCGGTGTGCTGACAGAGCAACGGGGTGGGGGGAGAGCCCTGTGCTGTGGTTTGGGGAGGACGAGGGGTTTTCAGCGTTTGCTTTTGTTCAGGGCACTGCGAAGCAGAAATCCCCAAGAGAAGGAGGTTGCTTTTGGGTTTTGGTTGACAAACGCAAACTGGGGAAAGATGTTCTGATGAGCTGTCCGAGCAGCTCTTGTGTGCTGCTTCATCTTTCAGCTCTAAGACAGACTCCAAATTCAAAACCTGAGCTGTCCATGGAGGTCTCTAAAGCACCAGGGCGCTGCATTTAGAGAGAGCTTTTCCCAGGCATGGGGCATGAAGCTGCAAGGGGCAGATGAGCTCAATCCCCACGGGGCCCAACTGCTGCTCCACTCTTGGTTTTAACCCCAGTTCAGCAAATATCAGCATTTTGGAGAGAGGCTCCTCACTTTTTGGGGTGGTTGTGCAGAGCCTACAGGCGTGCTATTGCAATGCAGGTGGCAAAATCAAAGCACAAGCCCAGCTGCTGGGAGTACATCTGCCTTCCTGCTACTTCAGCCCATGGTCCAGAAGGGCTTTGGTTCTCCCTCCAGCCTGGGAACCACTGCAGCACAGTATAAGGCATACCAGTACCTACAGTGCACCTGCAGCCTGGAGAAGTGTGGGATTTCTGCTCCTAGGACTGACAGTCCAGTGCCTTTTTGGGAGAAAACAAGAGCTGTAGGAAGCAAGTCTCTTAAACAACCCAATAGCTTTTACTATGTGTATTAAAAAAAAAAAAGCAACAAAAAGTGCAATGCTTCAGTTCACTGGAAGGACTGGGGGGTTAATTTTCAGGATGCTGCATGGGAATTTAGCCGTGGGATTTCCATTATAGCGAATGGGACTCATGCAGCTTAATTTCATGTGAGCTACACTAAAAACATACCCCTAACTGTCTTTAAAATTTCAGCCCTGAAATCGAGCCTTTTAAAAGTTAGAGGAGGGTAAACAAACACCTGAAACCACACCATCTTTGCTATTTTCCCCCTTTCAGTCGGTTTCAGTGGAGGGGGAGGGAAGGCAGGCAGTCGTAGGCAATTAAAAAAGAAAAAACATATTGCTCTCATCCTGGCTGCCTGCGTTCTGAACTTCAGCTTTCTGCCAATTGAAAGGGCAGAGTGGCAACCCCTGAAAAATTGGGGTGGCTGATGCCTTATCCTTATCCTGAAGCGTTGCACAGCGAATGCTGCATCGCAGTATGTATCCAATAACCCCAGCACCACTGCCTCCATCGTGGGTCCTCGGTTATTAGGCCGTTCTTGTTAAATGACTGCTATCATCTGGTCCCAAAGTACATTAAATCCCATTATAATTATGAACACACTTCCCTATAACGTTCTCCTTAGATTACATTTGCACTGCTTTACCCCAAGGGGATTTTTGTACTAATGCCGTCCTTATTTGTTATTTTAGCTGACAGGGCCGGGCTGCAGGCAGTGCTGGCAGCAGCGATCTGTGCTCCCCTGTCCCTGCAGGTCCCCGATGTGGGCATTGCCGGTGTGTGCTGTGCCAACACCCCCAGCGCTGCGGGTCCCTATTTCTGTGCTCGGCGCGGGCTCGTTGGCTTTTCGCGCTTCCTATCCGAACTCGGTGCCGCTCGGGGAAGGGGTTCGGACAATCGTAGCTTTACCAAAGCGACGTGCGTGTAGCGTGACGTTCAGCTTTCCAGCCGAAAGCTGGCGTCGGGCCCCTAACTTGGATTTTGGTGACCGTCCCTACCGCTTCCATTCGATCGCCGCGGGCTCTTAGAGCCGGGCCGCGGCTCGGTTCCCCGGGAGCGCTTTTGTTCCGAGCTGAGGGGTGTCCCGGCGGGTGAGTGGGTGCGTGCCCGCCCGCGGGGCCGTCGGGGGGCGGGCAGCCTCCGCCCGTATCGCGGCGCCGGGAGCGCGGCGGCTCGGCGGGGCGGGCGGGGGGCAGCGGTACGGGGCAGCCCCCGCAGTCGGGCGCCGCTCGCCACCGTCGGCTCCGGTTCATTGGCTCCTCGCGGCCGCCGGCTCCTCCATGTTTGTTGTTGGCAGCGGCCGGCGGAGCCAAGCGCTGTCCAGCAGCCGACGCTCGCCCGCCCCGGCCCCGCTTCTCGAGCCCCGGGCCGCCGCTGGGCGCTGGGGCGGGCCCGAGTCGCGTCGCAAGGTGCCCCCGCGGGGCCGGGAGGGAGCGGGGAACGCGGCCCCGAAGGAGCGGGCTGAGTGCAGGCAGAGTGCAGGCGGCGGCGCTGCCCGCGGAGCGGCGCACGCGGGGCCGCGCAGGATGCGCGGGGCCCCCGTCGGGGCGGGCCGGGGCGGGGCCGGGGGGGCGGCGGCGCCAGCAGTCAAGATGGTGCGGGCGGCGGCGTCGGGGGTGGGGGCGGCCTGACGTGGGCGCGGGGCGGCCCGTGGGCCGGCGCCGCGGTGATTTGCTGCGCGGCGCGGCGAGCGGCGGCGGCGGCGATGAGAGCGGGCAGTGCGAACTGCCGGAGCAGCCGCCGGCCGCCGTGAGTGCGGGCAGCGGGCGGGCGGGCGCGGGGCTGCCGTCCTCTTCTTCTTCCTTCTCGTCCTTCTCCTCCTCCTTTCCCCCCTCCTCGCCCCGCAGCGATGCGCGGTTGCGGCTCTGGCGGCTCTCCGCTGCCTCTGGGCGCGGAGCTGCGCCGGGCGCGGCGGCTCTCGATCTGCACCTGATGAGCGCCGCGCCGGGTCCGAGCCCTGCGGGCGGGACGGGGCGGCCGCCGCTGCCTGCCGCTGCCGTGCCGTGCCCAGCTGGGCGTGCTCGCAGGCTCCGCGCACCGGGCGATGCGAGGCGATGCGCTCCTACGGCTGCCGCTCTCCTTCCCGAGCAGCAGCCGGCGGGACCGCGGTTCTCAGCGCGCCGGAGCGCTGCGGATGCCGGCCCCGAGCCGAGCGCACAAACTTTTCAGAGCATCGTGACTCGCCGCCGCCGAGCTCCGGCTAACCACCCTCTCCTTCTCTCCTCCCCCGTCCCTCCTCTTTTTTTTTTTTTTTTTTTCTCCTCTTCCCCCCCTCTGTCTTTTGTTTTCGCAGATAGTCGGCACACAAAGCTAGTCCCAGATTTGAGCGACGGTAAGGCACCCTAATGAGTGAACCTCGGGAGCGCTATGGATTTGACTAAGATGGGCATGATACAGCTCCAGAACCCCTGCCACCCCACGGGGCTGCTGCACAAAGCCAACCAGATGCGCCTGGCGGGGACGCTGTGCGACGTGGTCATCATGGTGGACAGCCAGGAGTTCCACGCTCACAGGACAGTGTTAGCTTGCACTAGTAAAATGTTTGAGATCCTCTTCCACCGCAACAGTCAGCATTACACCCTGGACTTCCTTTCACCAAAGACTTTCCAGCAGATTCTGGAGTATGCTTACACGGCCACCCTCCAGGCAAAGGTTGAAGACTTGGATGACCTGCTCTACGCAGCTGAGATCCTAGAAATAGAGTATCTAGAAGAGCAGTGCCTGAAGATCTTGGAGACCATCCAGGCATCCGATGACAACGATGCCGAAGTCACCATGACAGATGGAGGTGCCGATGAAGAGGAGGACAGGAAATCGAGGTACATCAAGGGGCTCTTCATCTCCAAGCATTCCAGCGAGGAGAGCGGCTACGCCAGCACGGCCGGGCAGAGCGGACCAGGCACTATGGTGGAGCAGAGCCCCTCAGTCTCCACATCCTTTGGCCTCTCCGCCATGAGCCCCACCAAGGCAGCGGTGGACAGCCTGATGAGCATCGGGCAGTCACTGCTGCAGGGTGCCCTGCAGCACAACGTCCCCGAGGAGCCGCACGCTGCCGGCCGCCACCCCGGCCCCAGCGAAGTCAAAACCGAAGTGATGCAGGTGGAAGATGCCTCCAGCCACGAGAGCCCACGGCCGGTGGAGTCGGGTGCTTCCAGTGGGGAGAAATCTGATGACAAGAGCAAGGAAGACCCCGGCACCCCGACCCGCAGCAGTGTTATCACAAGTGCCCGCGAACTGCACTACGTCCGCGATGAGAGCGCAGAGCAGCCTCCCGAGGCCGCCCAGGGGATGCTGGTGGGGCCGGAGCAGTCCGTGGCTGCGAGCGAGAAGCCTTTGGGTGTCTACTCCGTGCTCCCTAACCACAAAAGTGACTCTGTGCTCAGCATGCCGCCCTCCATGACATCCACTCTTCACATGCAGCCAGCCCTGGCCGTGTCCATGGACTTCAGCGCTTATGGAGGGCTCCTGCCCCAGGGCTTTATTCAGAGGGAGCTGTTCAGTAAGCTCGGGGAGTTGGCAGCCGGCATGAAAACGGAGAGCAGAGCCGTGGGCGAGCAGTGCAGTGTGTGTGGGGCAGAGCTCCCGGACAACGAGACCGTCGAACAGCACCGGTGAGTCCTCGCTGCGTCCGGCTCCACGCGCGCCTTCGGTTGCTTGTTTTGCTGTTGCCGAGGTCTTTTCCTCTGTTTGTTGTTGTATTTTGCTCTCAAAGCGAATGTGACGCTTGGGCGTGATCTTGGTAGTGGGTTTTGATTTCTGACTGGGTGTGCTAAAGGCTTAGCATCAAATCCATGCTGTGAGCCCAAAATTGGGATGTGGAGCAGCGTGCGCTCTGCCAACCTCACACGGAGGGAGAACTACCTTAACTTTCTCAAGGCTGGCAGCTGTGCCAGAAGCTTCCTTTCAGTGAGTGTTGGGTGGGGTGCATTGCTCAGAGGAGGCTCGAGATGTTGTAGGTGTTTCTTGCTAGCACAAACCCTGCTGGTTTCCCTGGCTGCTGTCTGCAGAGCCCCATACGGTCGCTGCCGTTTGAGTTTAGGGATCTGTGCTGCAGATTCCGTGCTCTGCAGATCCTCCCACCCTGTGCTGAGCCCCTGACCCTGGTGTGAGTGCCCCGTGCTCTGCAGGGTTTGTTTCTGCAGGGGAGATAGAGACCTGCTGCGTGCTCTTATCCTACTACCTGGATGACATTTGGGATTGCTGCGTTGCACGGCTCGCCGCTCCTGTAGTTTAACACCAGCGTGGTGGTGTTGCTCAGTCGCACGGTTTAGGAAATATTTGCACTTTGCCCAAAGTAACATGCAGGTCAGGCTGGGATTGCTTTATCACCAGGTCCAGCTTTTATCCTCTGGAGGGGGCGGCTGGGGGTGGGTGTGCTCCGGGGGATACCGTGGTGCTCGGTGCCTGTGGGACTGTGTGCTGGCTGCTCCCGGTGCGTGCTGCTATCAGATGCATGCTGCTATCAGATACACACTGCCAGAGTTCCTCGCAGCGTCCCCAAAGTGCCCGAACTGAGCATCATCTCCAAATATTAATGAATCAACAAGTTAATTAGTCCCGATGCTCACAACGTCGTGCACACGCAGGGACGGTGAGGGTGCTGCTAGCAGGGGCTGCTCCAGCCCGTGTGGTCGTGGCCATGCAGGTGACCCCCGTGAGAGCAGCAGCAGCTGCATCTCTGGTGCTGCAGCGTTCAGCCCTGCGGAGCTCCGTGAGCTGGTGGTGCTTCGTGGCTCGCCGTGCCGTGCTGACAGCCATCCCCCTGCCCCGGAGGGTCCCTCCTGCTTTGTGCACTCGTGCAGCAGGGTTCTGCTTTGTTCCCCTGCATTGTAAGTGGGAGAGCTGGGGTCTGTGTGTGTGCGTGCGAGGGGCAGATGATGCCTGCCTAAAGCTTTTCGCTCGGACGAGGATCCAGCCGTGCTTGCCGTAGGGTGATGCAGGCTGAACGTCACCAAGGGAGAGCTGCAGTGAATGCTCAGTGAGAATTTTAACGTGGCTTCTGCCATGCTCACCAGCACCTTCCCTTCTCCCTGAGCGCAGAGCAGTGACCGATGCTGGAACTGGTTCATAATCCTGATCTTGTGCCAGGGCTGCTGCTGCTGCTCCGCGCTGTACCTTGTGTTCTGCTGAGGTTTGGGGCTGATCACACAGCAGAGCAGCGTTTGCTAAAAACACGGCCCCAGAAGGATGGTTTGAGGCAGTGCGGAACTTGGTGCGCCCCTACTTTGAGGCCATGGCTGTGTGCAGTCACTGCGTGCTGGTAAACTTTTCAGAGTTAGCCAAATCCTTTGAGCCGTTTTTAAACTGATTAGTAAGATGGTCTGTGTTGAAAGGTGTTGGGCAACAGTCAAATGAACTTTAAAAGAGGAGGAGAAAAAAAAAAAAATCGAAATCCAAGGCAGTTTGTGCATAGACAAGGTTTCATGTGGCTTTTTTATAGTGTTTGCTTTCTGATACGTGGTGAAAATTACCATTTCGAGAGGATTTGTGGGATCCCATTGTATTTATGGAGCTGTTAAACAGCATCCACGCTACGCTGGGATCTATAACTCTCTGCTGGAGCAGTTGTGCAGGTGGTGGCAGCTGCACCGTGCTGCTGCTTTGCTCCCAGGGTGTGCCGAGTGACAGCGGTGTCACCATGGAGCCGCTGCTTTAGGTGACCTCTTTCTGCTGGGCGCCTGTTGGTGTGGTTTTGCTTTTAACCCTGCCCTGGGCACACAGAAGCAGCCCTGTCCCCTGCTGTGTTGCAGGCTGCAGTTGGATGCCCGCTGCTCTGTCTCCTGCTGGATGAGTGCCTGTCTGCCCATCCGTTTGTTCCAGTCCTGTGCTTTCAAGGTGTTGGATTGATGGGCAGATGCAGCACTTCCAGCTCTGTTGGCACTGCCTGAGCTCTTGGTTCGGTGGCTTTTGTGTGCTGGAGTCCCGGCAGGGAGAGGAGAGACCAAAGTGCTCTGCACGGAGAGCACTTAATGAGCCAAGAGCATCCCAACATGTACAGTGTCTGTTTATGTTACGTGAGTGACTGCATATGGTGTGTATGTTTGTTTACACGCACACATGCCTAGATGCGTATAAATATATATGTTTAGAGTCTGAGAACCTTCTGAGCGCTGCCCCTGCCTCCTATGGGAAATATGTGCACGTGGGGGGAAAAAAAGACCATGGTGCTTCCCCCAGGCCCTGGTTTGGGTGTTCTGCTCAAAGAACACCCAGGGGTGCAGGTCCCCATAGGGTCCCCAAACCCCAGGAGCAGCCTCACAGCCACCCTGTGCCTTTTGGATGGCTGTCGGCCGCTTTGCGATCCGTCTTCCCTGTTGACCAAGCTTATGATTTTGACTAATTGAGTGCGTATTGAGTTGGTGACTCTTGAATTTTTTTTCTTTTCTTTCCTTTTTTTTTTTTTTTTTTTATAAAAGATTTCCTTCTAGGATCAACAAAGTTCAAACTTAATCTAATGTTAGTATTGATTGCTGCTTCTAATTGCAGACCAAAAAGCTGTAGTTCAGTGGCCCTTTTCCGGTTTGTTTGTATGAAGAAAAATCTCCGCTTCTGCAGGGCTGTGCTGAGCAGCTGCCTGAATCCGGGGCAGTTTGTCATCGTGAGGTTAAATGCGTTCAGACTTTATAAAATGAATGTTTCATATATATATATATATATATATATATATTCACATCGAAAGCAGCAGAGAAAGCTGTCAGGGAGATGTGATTCAGTGCTGTCCGTGAGTGGCACAGTTCTCCCTTTTTCCTTCGGTGCATCATCCTTCCGTTCTGCAGGGAAAGGGTTTGAAGGGCAGAGCATCCAAACCCACAGTGTGGTCCTTTGGGGCCACCCCGAGCAGAGCTGTGTGCTGGCAGTGTTGTCCACATGTCCCTCTGTGACATGAAGATGCCCAGCTGGAAAATGAAAGTTCTTTGTGCCAGTGTTGTCTAAGGCAAATCATAACCGGCACCACGATTCCCATTGGTGCTGTTTTGGCTGGAAGGTGCCTGCTCCTCTCCCCTAAATCCATGTCAGTGCATACCTTGGGAAACCTCTCTTCAAATTCCCACATCTGATTTTTGCACAGATTGGAAGGTGCTACAATTGAGCGTGCTCTGGTGGATGATTTTAAGGTTAGGTTTGCCCTGTCACCTGGAACCCCGAACCTTTGCTGCATTCCATGCTTGTGCAGCACAGAGGAGCAGCAGATCTGCTTGCTCACTGCCTTGCCAATTGGGCTGCTCTGGCTCCCCAGAACACACGAGCCTCTCCATGCGATCCCTGCGCTCCTTGATGCGGTGCAGCGAAGTGGAACAAACCGCGGGTCCCTAACAAAGCCCTGGGTTTGAATGGACCCATTGGCTGCTGCTTGTCACTGCGTGCACTGGGACACCTCCAGCAGCTCTGTCTGCAGCAGTGCCGAAGCAAATCTTAAGTGGCTGCGTAGGGAAATATTGCTGCTTTTGGCTCTTTGCTTGCCAACCTCACCTCCATTTGTCTTCGAGTGGATTAGCTGAGCATTGTAATACTAATGCCATTAGGCACGTTGGCACCGCTCAACATGTCACAGTGAGAAACAGATGCAGTATACCATTAAAGCAATAAACGTGATAAATCAGATCCCAAGTGCTTTGTGAGATGTTATTAGTGTTAATTTTGGTAGCCGGGTACAGTAGTTGTTTTTTATTTCATTTTAAGCATTCGGTGATTTATGTTCCGCTGAAGTCGGCTGCAATCGAAACTTTAAAAAAAAAAAGAGAAGGGGGGGGGGGGGAGGAAAAAGAATAAATAACAAAAAGGCAGCCCCCAAACTCTGCCCGTGATTATTTCCAGAGTTCGAAGACAACTTGGCAGCTCTTGTTTCTCGCTGATGGGCCTTATTAGTGGCACCTGGCATCATAACCGCCTAATGGAAACCAGCGTTCCCCCACTGCGTGGCCGCTGACAAGTAGCTCTGTCAGTGCAGGGCTGCCATGCGAGGAAGCTCTTATTAGCTTTATGGGCAGGGGGACCTGCCCTGCTCAGGAAATGAATGTTGCAGCCGAGGTCCGCGGCGCTGACCCCGAGCGTGTAACCTGTGAGTGCCAGCCGAGACCCCGCGCAGGATGCTTGGGATTTCGGGCTTTCTCTGGTTCTTGTCATAAGGAGAGAGGGAATACGTTGTGGTATGTTGCAGCCTTGAACTTTTGATTTATTCGGTGGGGGACTTAACCATTTCCATGCAGTGCTTGGAGCGCGGAGGGGGAGCGGCTCGCTTTGGCTTCGGCGCTGGGCGGTCGATTATCGCGCATCTTGGTGGTGGATGGCGGCGCCTCTGCAAGCAGAGCTCTGCAGCTGCCCTCAGAAAACACCACGATGTTTTTTTGCCCTTGCCCAGCAACGGGCAGCAGCTCTCCTGGCTGGCTGGTGTGGCAGCACCTGCGTGGGGCAGCACGCGGCGGCATGCAAGCATTGCAGAGCTTTCACTTCTTGTTATCATTCGCAAAGCGCAGTTTGTTAAAATGGCATTTATTGGCTGCATGCAGGATCCCTTTCACAGGGAATGCACTGTTTCAGGGTGACACTGGCAAATCTTTTTTGTTGTTGGGTTGGTTTTTTTCCCCTCAATGTGTGGAAGTGCTGCGAGAAG